CAAACCGCTCCACGATTAGTAGCTTAAAGCAACTATCATTTATTTAGTGATGATTTTGTTAGCAGTTTGGACTAGGCTTAGCTGGGCTCACTCTTGCGTCTTTGGTTGGCTTCTGGTCTGTTAGGTGGCTTTGCTTTGGATGCTGTCTGGCTTTCTACTGGGGTGATGGAGCAACTATGCCCCATGTTTTTTTAAGCCTCTGTTTTCATCATATTTGCTACTCTATCATTGACCAAAATAAGTTATATGCCTAATCTCAGTCATTGTGGGAGGCTATTATAAAAGTCATGGATACAGGGAAACATGGAAAAATTGGGGTCATTACTGCACTCAGTCACCACAAATTAAATATGAAAAACTGAAAGTGGCACTCATTTCATCATCTCTTTCTATTTAGTTGGCATGACTTCTTTAGCATAGCTCTTATTCTTGAAACAATCATTAGCTATAGATTCTAGGGTAGTATATGGAAAGTGATAAGCTGCTAGAAGGGCCAAAAAATTATATGTAGTGTAAGCCAATGAATTCCTGCTTGTCATAACACGTAATGCTTGTTGAGCATTTTATAGGTGTCAAGCATCAGCTTAATTGCTTCTCAAATCTGCCAAGTAAATAGTATCATTTTCTCTTTTCAGATGACAAAACTAAGAGAAATCTAGTAACTTGCCCAAGGTCCCAAAGCTAGTGACTAGAGAGCTTGGATGCCCTAGGCCTGATTCAAATACTCTTCTTTCTACTGTACCACACTGCAGCAGCTCCTTGAGGGATCCCACAGTCGTGGCTAACAGCCCAAGGCCAGTTGACAAAGAGCTTCTAACATGCAGGATAATGAGTACAACTCTCAGTGTTCTCTTTCTAATGAAGGGGGTTGTGTGTACTTATTACCATTTGGCTAATGCCCCCTAAAGATTTTCTGGTATTGAATTCTAATTGTAAATTACAACAGCCATCTAATGATTAAAAAAGAAAGCCACCAAATTCTTGGAATAGTTCTAGTCTCTAATGAACATGGATAACTAATGTAGGGGTAGATGTTTTGTTTGGAATTGGGTATGTATTCCATGAGAGTAAAATGTAGACAGCCTAAGTTTCCTTATTAAAAGGAGAGATGGGGGAGATGTGACGAGATTATGTGACAGAGAGGAAAAAATACAGAAAGGGTGCTGTAGTGAAGGATGTGAAGGAATTCAACACTGTGTAGACATTTGTGAGTGTCCTTATCACTACACTTTTACATCAAAAAATTCTAAAATCTGCAGGTCCTCATTCCATGACCCACAGAGGCAAAAAGCAGTCCGGAAATGCAGATCTGGACAAATTCTAGACATTTTATAGTTTATTTTTGTATTCTGTGAATACATTAGAGATTTTAAAAATTGTTTCTTGATTTCTTTTTCCATCCCATTTTAATGCATTATTATATCTCTTGTTTCCCCCATACCTCTGAAAATGTATAGTCAGGACCATGGACAGATCCTTCATTGTCTTGGCCTTCCTTGGGTTTCTTCCAGCTGCCTTATTTCTCTTACTACTCTAGTGGGACACTAAAGGCCAGGTCTTTTGTGTTATCTCAGTTTTTTTATAGGAAAGAGGAGAAGATTGATCTGTTTCCGAAGAGAGAGGAGAGAAGAGGCTTCAGTGTGGAGTGAATGAGCTAAAAATCTCCTTTCTTCCTTTGAGGGCTCTCTTTATTAGAGGAGCCTCACCAGTTAACAGGAAGTAAAATCATCACTAATATTATGTTGAATAAATGATTGGCTGTTCTACTTTCAAACATCTAATATTTCATAACATATTTGTTCAATAAATACATTGTTATTGTTAATCTGTGTTCATGTTCTTTAACCTTTTGAAATCTTCATTTAGGTGTTGAAAAAGAAAAATAAATGCTTTTGTATTTACAATTTATTCAAAGCCCTCATGTTTTAAAAATATGTATTTTCAACAGTAGGAGCTCCTCACTCAATTACCCAAATATTAGATTATTAAAACCACAATAGAAAAGGAGATGGTTTTTCCGTTGCCAGAATTCCTAAAATGAACATAATTTCTTCCTTTGTCTCTCTCTCTCCTCTGTCTTTCCCCAATCCATGTTCTGGTACCCGTGTTATTAGGACATATAAAAATACCACAGGCATTTATGATAAGTGTGTGTCAGTTCTGAGTGCTATATTTTAAGAAAGTTTTTGATGTGTTGATTTGGATATGGTAAGAGGAAGATGACTACAATGGGGAAGTGCCTAGAAACCATAATGTGTAACCGATGCTTGAAGTAAGTGGTGATGTTAAACCTAGAGAAGAAGAAGGCATGAGAGATGTCTTGATTGCTTGCAGGATTGTCATCTAGGAAGTTTTTTCCGTGGATGACAGGCCTGCAGCTAACACCAATACATGGACATTACAAGGAAATTCATTCTGAATAAGACGAGGAGCCTAACACCAATGAATGGACATTAGAAGGGAAAATATATCTGCTCAATAGGTTACAAAGATTACAATTGGTCATATTTAGCAATGGGATAATCTGAGTCCCATCCATGAGGCCAGAACACACTAAGTCAAATGAGTGCCCTCAGAAAAGGCAAACATAAAGTAAGGTCCGAGAGAAAAGACCATAATATCCAAAATAGTTCATGATTGCATAGCCAAATGGAAAGAAAATCTTGTCTAGAAGTACTAAGGTAGACTTTTTTGTCAGAGGGAGAAATTTGTTAGTAGTATCCCAGGTTGTAACTCTGAATGCATTTTCCTGAAGTCACTTGGTTTTATGTAGTAGATCTATAGAACTTTTGCTAATACAAATAATTAAATAGAATTCTGTTGAATGATTGGGGAACCCAGTGTCCATTTATCCATTAATTCAGTAAATATTTACTTATCGAGCACTTGCCATGCCCCAAGTACTGTTCCAGGCTCTAGGGGTAAAACAGTGAATGAAAACAAAAAGTCTACCTTTACAGGAGCTTATATTCTAGTGGCTGCCTAAATGTTACAATTAAATATATAAAGAATATGGACTCTAGCCAAAAATGATTTTCCCTCTTACATGTATTGATGTCTGTCAGATTTACCTTAATTCACTTCCAAAAAAATAATTATCTTTATAAAAATATATTTTAATAATCATAACCATCAATTATTTATATCATCTTTGTATAATTGGTATAAATTTCAAAAATTGAATGAAAATATTTTCTTTTTCTGGAAATCTTCCTAGTTTTCTCATAAAATAAAAGATATGGCTCCTGCTTCATGTATTACAATATGTGGAACTTTTCTTATGCAGGAACTTGAATCTATAGTTACTATGTAATTCTGTCCAAAATCATTTCTTGGCTTACTTAACTATTATTTGTGCTTTTTGGTGCCCTCTTGGTTATGAATATAAAAGAATTCGGTAAAATATATAGTTTTCAAAATTTAATGTCACATTGAAAAAACAGATGGTACAGTAATGTCATGAAGTCATTTTAAGTATTAGAGAAATATTCAAGACAATTAGATTTATAGACCTCTGTCAAGATATGAGAACACTAAGGCAAAGTGACTTTCTAAAGCTCAGAACCTTGGTTTCCTGGCCCTGAGGCCAGGAGTCTCCCTACCATTTCACACTGTTTAATTTTCTCTGCTATTTAAATAGGCTGCAGGCTTCACTGAGATTTATTAAGAAGACTGCAAATGGTCCATGCTGCTGTGCCTGACACGGGTGTCCTTAGGGCACTGCCCCTAACTCTCCTGACCTATCAAATGCAAGATGTTTGTGTTATTCCAACCAGCTGGCTGAAAGTCCTAGTTATGCTATGTTCAGCTAAATCTTAGCAGGCAGAGGGCTTTCTAGCTTCCAGTATTATAATCTGTATTACTTGAGGACCTTAATCAATAATTAGTTGACTTTCTGTGTTTTGTAAGGTATTAATAACATGTACACAATAATGGTTTGGGTTTTTGTTTTTGCGAAATGACTGTGCACCAAGCAGTGGGTTTAATTCTTACAACCCTGAGGTGGATAATCCTATTATCCCCATTTTACTAGGGAAGAAACGAAAGGGGGGATATATATGTTGCTTAAAAGTTATATGGCTAGTTAGCATTAGTGTCAGGAGTGGAATCTAGTTTTTAAATGCCTCCTGCCTTAACATTCCCTTAATTTGACAGCAAAAGCCACAGACCCAGAGAATTTAGATGATCTGTCCAGGATTACAAGTCTGGTGTGGGTTGGGGGTGAGTCATACTTTATATCCAACTTTGTGTTGTTTTATAATGTAAGTGTTCTTAGAATGACTCCATCTGCCACCCTGAGTTCTTAATCTAACATTTGTCTTACAATGAAAAAGTTTATATACTTGGAGAAGTAGGTAGTGTTTAAAAAGAATAATACAAATAGGCATTTTAAAATTTGTTTTGACAAAATTTCCTTGTAATAGCTGTTTGATTTCTATGGTAATGCTAAATGTTAAGCCAACCATTTTGTACACTTATCGGTAGCAGTGCTTTTTTTCATGTTGTGAAATCTTTGGGGCTCTCTGATGTAGACTTGGTATTTTCATCTGCCTATTAATCTTGTTACGTTGTATTATCCAAGTAAGATTTTTTAAAAGTCCCTGATATTAAATAGTGATTCATTTTTTATCATTAAGGCAGATAAACCAGGCTATTTCTGACAGTGTAGTGGAGTTCATTTTGCTGCTTTTTAAAAATTGTGTTCAACTTAACAATAATTTCACTGGAGGAGAAAAACTCAAATTTCCTCTTTGACAACGTAATGATATCAACTTTTCCTTAATAGAAATTAAACAGATTGGAAATCTTACCAGTGACTTTTCAAGGGTCAGTTATATTTTTAGAAAAATGTCTAAAAGTTTCCAAGGCTTTGTTTTCAAGATAAATCTTCCTGTTCTGAAGCATTCGGTTTTGGGTTTTTGAAGTAGAGTATAAATAAGAGTCCATTTAATGAAATTCAGTGTTGACTCATCCCTTCTTCTCTCTTCTCTCTCCTCCAGCTCTTTCTCTTTGTTGTCTGGAACTTTGAGCTCTACATGATACCACTGGTTTTGTTGTTACTATTGACATGGAACTACTTCTTGATAATATCAGGGAAAGATAACAGGCAACGTGATACAGTAAGTCTCTACTCTCTTACTTGTATGTGTTTTTGTTCTTATTCTAGTCCCTCTGACAAGATCAATATTGAATTTGGCTTTACAAACCAGAAGTTCTGTCTACAAATACTCAAGTTTAGAGGAAAATTTTATCAGATCAAAACTAACGACTCTTTGGTCCTAACACAATAGAAAGTATTCACTTATTTCTAACATTACTCCTCTTGGTAGAAACTAAAACAGGGAGCAGCACCAAAGAATGAGCTATGATTTTCAATCATAAATGGGTGCTGCTTCAAATAATTGCTTTATTCTCCTTATTTGTTATATCTTAATGAATCCTGATTTAAGATACAATGTCACAAAATTATTAGTGATCAAACTACGTGAATGTATTTTACTTAAGACAGATAGATTCTTTGTTCTCTGTCATTGGAAGAAATGAAGGCTTCATGATTGTTGGCCTGGAAACGTGTATAAAGTACCTTAGTTCAATGCAGGTTCACTGGACAACAGTAAATATCCTTCTCTGTGTCAGGGGTGTATTGAGATATCAAGCTTAAGGATGAAGAGCTTTCATTTAACCTAGGGAAAGTTATACTAAATCTACCTGTCCTCTTTGGCATTTTTGAAAGCAGAATGTGTGAGACAACCTTCTCTTTCTAGAAGAGTTTTAGACTAAGTAGCAGAAGCTGCCCACACTATAATCACATATGTTCTGCCAAGCTTTGTTCCCCTTGGATTGTCTATCACTATGCCCCTAGCAACCTAACTATGAAAAGCTTTCCCACATGTAAATAAATGAGGGGAGTGTCTTCTCCAAATACAACATTTACAATTTGATAACTCAATAGACTGCTGTTGAGAAGAATTTAAAGGTTGGCAAACACGAGAATCTACTTGGTCCTTAGCAGACTACTACTTTTCTTGCCTTAAGGATCTCTGTTTGATTTATGATCTGTAGATTATAACAGATCATAAATCGATTTTTTGCCAACTACTGTGCCCATAATGATGCAGAATTATTTGATCATCAGCTTAAAAGTAGTGTATAATACTTAATAGTAACCATCATAATGGTTGCATACATACCTTCAATGTAAAAGAACTTCCCTTTTAAATAACACAATTAAAATACACTTCAAATAGCAATGTAAGCAAAATATAAAATTCTTCAAAATAATTTCCTTTAGTATGTGACAAAGTTGCCAACAAGACACCATGTTTACTTCTCTATTATATTTCTGTCTTTCTTACTAGATTATAAATTTGAGGGAAGGGAACTCTGTTCATCTTTGTATTTGTCACTGTCTGTAGTACCTGCTTTGCAAATTAGACGTGTTCAAAACCTTCTTTGTAAGGTATATCAAACAAACATGAGATTGCTAATAGAGATTTTAATGTTTAGTCAGCATCGATAGACAAGAAGTTATTAGTATTATTGGCAAGGATTTTATGGATATATATTTAAATTGCACACTGAGAGACAAGCCCTAAATGCTATAAGCATTGGTGTCATGGGGACTAATAGGTACTTTCATCAATTAATTCAGGATGTTTTCTTTAAGAAAATAGGACTCTTTCAGACAATTGCTTTTTTGTCCCATTTACTTCGTGGAGATTGTCGAGAGAGAAGAATATCTACTTTTCATTCTGTTGCCTTGAGACAAATTTGCAAATAAGATTATTTCCAAATAGGAAAAACTGGTAATTTAGTTTTAGCTTCTTAATTCTATGAGGGGGCTTATCTTCAATATTTAGTCACTGGTTTTGGTATTCTTAGTGAAAAATTCTGAAACTGTAGACTTTGCTTGTTATCTTCTCCAGAATATACCTGGCTTGGCTGGAAACATCCACTTTTAGAGGAAAAATAATATATAATGTATCCTTTTGTACTTAAAATTCTCTAAGACATTTTATAGCCTATTGAAAAAATGCATATCATATAATTTTTGCAAAATATAGCTTCAAAATAGTATTTACCAAATCTTTTCTTTTTAGTACATCTCCTCTAACAGGCTCCTCTTTTAGCCATGGACATTTTTCTTCCCCAGCACAACCCACTGTGAAACATTCTATAGTCTAACTCTCATGGAATGCCAACTACACTCCATAACTCCCAGTAATTGCCTTTTATTTGCCCAAAACACACAGATCCACATATTCTGTTCTTTCTAGGCACCAGAGCAGCAATCACAACGTTTCATTCAGCTTCTTATTCACTGGCTCAGTTAAGACCTTACGTAACTCTTAAATCCAATTTGTCTAATTATGTGTTTGCTGGCATATCCAGCTGTGCATTTGAACCGGTTGCTCCTTTTGAAAAGAAACCTGGATTATACTTTGCTGGTTACAGAATGCATATATATATATACACACACACACACACATACACACACACACATATACACACACACACACACACACATATACGAATTTAGGGAAAGTGTGTGTAGGGGTTGCCATGCTGTGACGAATTGACTCTCCTGCATAGTGCATAGCACTGGAAGGATGGTATTTTCCTGTAAGTCCATATTGATATCCTAAAGACACTGCAGACTCTTTCAGCATAAGTGAAAACTTTACAGGATCTCCAAGGTGCGTTAATCACACCATTGGCTGATTCCAAACCAGGAAACTTTCTGTTTTAGGAAAGAGAGACAGAGAAAGAGAAAGAATTTTCTGCCACCAAAAATCAAACCAAACCAAAACAAAAATCTATACATTCAGCTGACAAAATTTAATTAGGGTGAAAACTATAAAAGAAAAATCAAAATGACCTTCAGGTCATAGAAAAGAAAGAAAAGGAAACACAATTTCCATGACATAAGAAGTTGAAGAAGAAAATAAAAGAAATACTGTGAAAGATGAAAAATGCATAGATGGGTAAAATTCTGTCTTCAATGTATTGGCTAATATTTGAGATTAATACCAAACAGGAAAATGTTTCTTTGTGTGTTTATTGTTTAAGGAGAGTCTTTCCTTTCTTGGAGACCCTTAAGATTACAGGCACTGAACCCTCATACCTTTTCCCCACCATGGTGCCTATTCTAGTTTAATGAGCAAAAGCAGATGTAATCCTTGCTGAATAAGTTTTGCAGCGTTTAATGAGCTGAACCTGTTAAGGAGAGAATAAGTAAACAGCCATTCCTGAGGTTAAAACTGTAGACACAGAGGGTGCCCATGTGAAAGAGGCATGGTTAAAAATATTTCACCTCTGCTATTTCCTAGTTGGACTTGTTAAAAATAAGCAATCTTAGGTCTAAATATACCTAGACTGGGACTATGATATTAAAATTTCTAGCATGAAAATTGTTAGGCTTTTCCAGAGAAAACCGTTTACGACATGCTTCATTCAGAAATGTCCCTGGCATGAAAGGGATATAAAGATAGGAATGTCATCCTTCTCTTCGTTTGAGCTGTCACTTCAAAACCTGGGAAAAGTTCTCACCAGCATTGCCTATTAGGCTTGTACCAACTATCCAAATTACAGTGACTGTAGACAGACATTTTGAAAGTGGAAGAGTAGATGCCAGGAAATGGCTTTTACTTTGATTTAAAAACTACTGAAACATCATTACACCCTGGGCTCTGTGTGAAGTACTTTATATTCACTATGTCATTTAGTCCTCCTCCAAGAGAGAGAAGCTGATTGTGTTAGCCCAGCCAATGGATTGGATCCTCCTAAGTCAAGTGACCTGCCGCCCCCCACCCAGGTCCCTTCATCAGTTGTAAGCAAAGGAACATGCTCATGTAGACAAGCATGGCTGCAAGAGCTCTTCCTTGAGAAAAGAGAATCAAGTCACGGAGAATAAAGGAAATTGGTTAGCCAAGCAAACCAGCGGTCTATTGCACACCCTGTAACTGTCATTTCTACTGCACATACAGGGAAACAGGGCCAGAAAGATTAAATAACTTATCGAAAAACACACAGAAAGTCTCAGAACCAGTATTAGAACACAGAGCAGTCTGCCTGAAGTTTATACTCCGAACCACCAGTCAATCACATTTCCTGCTGGGGATATATCCCACCTCTCCCTGGGCACTGTTACAGCAAGTTTCTCCCACGAATTACTGAAAAGCCAGTAGCACTAACTACACCTTTAAGCCGACATATTAATAGAAAGTAGTAATTTTCCCACACCCCTCATCTCATGTCTTCCGTATCTCTCATTGAGGGAAACAGAAAGGATATTTATCAAGCAATTTCTATGTATCAGGCATCCTGCTAAGCCTTTTAGAGACATCACCTCCTTTTTTCCTTTACAATAATTATATCAAGTAAATAATTCTAAATAGTTTTATCCCCATTTTACAAATCAGAAAATTCAGTATCAAGGATGATAAGTAAGAAACTCCCCAGAGCAAGTGTGATGTGAACCCAATTGTGCCCTGTTGTAAAGTCCCAGGCTGTATCTATGGTACACGCATGGGCATTCCTTTCCCAAAGGACTGCTTTCTTAGTGTCCAGGGCCTTGCATAGAATCCCTGTTGTCTCCAGATTCCTTCCTATGAGGTACCCAGTAACCTCACATGAATTAGTGCTAGTCATCTATTCTATCCCACATGCCACCATTAATTTCCAAAGCATTCATGACCAGGAGGGCTACCTTCCATTCACCAAGGTGACCATGGGAGGAGTCCATCAAAGCTGACTTCTTCATATTTGTGAATAAATTTTTTTGTGTCAAAGCAATTTTTGAATATCTTTGACACAAAAAAATTCTTCAAGCTGTGTTTTTTAATTACACTTTAAAAGAACATTCATTTTTACTGTCATGATATTCCTCCCACACAACAATCTCAGTTATCTAATCAATGGTGGCATTAAAAGACTGAAGAGTGGGGCAGATCAATGAAATCATTCTCTGACTCATGATATGACTGTGACACAAATTGAGACAGAGTCTGCCTTGCTAAAATACTTTAGGAAATGCTGAAATGTTTAGTTAGCTCCTTCTCGTGACAAAGCATTTGTTTCTTCATTTCCCTTTCAGAATAGTACTGAATATTGTCTCCCA